GGATGCCGTGGTGGACCTGCAGGGCGGGGGTGAGCTGCCCAGGCCTCTGTCCACTTTCTAGGACTCCCTGCCCCCCAGCCAGGGCCCTGCTCCTCGCAAGCACACACTCCCTTATTGTGCAGGAAAGCATGCGGCGCCCCGGGAAAACAAACCGGCCCCTTCAACCCAGTGCTGGGAAGGCATCCAGACCCCTGACCTCTGCTCACTCAGCTGGCTCCAGGCAATAAGACCCAGAAAGGCCCCTACAGCTGCAGAGCCTGGAGCCAGGGAGCAGGGAGGGCGGGAGGCCTGCTGGGAGCGAGAAACCTGGGCTCAGTGCCCTGGATTCATTCTGGGGTTTGATCCAGGCCCTTTTGCGTTCCGCAAGGGGCCTTGTGACTGCTTCCTATTAGCAGAAGGATGGCTCCATTTGAGACAGCACAAACTTTGTTAGGCCCTGCTGCTGAGGTGGCAGAGATATCCCATCGGCTCAATTTGTCCCTGGTCCCTTGCTGAATGAAACGCCAAACCAGCGAGGGATAGAGTTTGGAGTTTGGAAACCATATTCCTGAGGAGGCTTCTGGGAGGTCTCTAGGGCCCTGGAAATGAGTCCGGTTTGGCTTTTTAGAGGAGATTTCAATTAAATTTCACAAAGATGCTTCTTGAGTTCCTATCACACGCTAAGCACATGGCCCTGACCTCCAGGGGCTAAAGGTCTTACATGTCCAGGAAAAAGCAGTATACAATCAGGTGCTAGGTTAAAGATTATCTTCAGAAATAAACGTCTACTGAGCACCTACTATATGTCAGGGTTTGAAAGGAAGAAAATGAGATCATATATGTTCGGAGTAAGAAATTCCAAAGCCCACAGGGGCCAAGCTGGTGGCATGAATAAGTGAAGCAGGCAGGGCAGACAGTAGGGAGTGGTGGGGTCTGTGGAGCACCAGAGAGCACATGGCTCATTTTCAGGGGACAGTTGCTTCTCGGCTTCTGGCGATCTCTGCCCTGCAAGAAAAGGGGAGCAGTGTTATTAGATATTCTAACTCTTTTAAAAGGAAGTGAGAAATCTGTATTTTCATATGAAATTTCCAGATGTTTACATGTTGGCCAGTTATTCAAAACAAAACAAAAGAAAAAACTGTGTGAGCTAAATAAAACCAATCTGTGGGCCCGATGGGGCTAGCAGCCTCCTGGTTTGCCACCTCTGGAAAAGGAAAGTGCCTAGTCTGGAGCTTGTGCTCAGTGGAGTTCTGTTATTTATCTTAATTATAGCATATATCATCTCATTTAATCCTCAGAAGCCTTAAGAGGTGGTATCGTTATCCACATCTTAAAGATGAAGAAACAAAGACTCAGAGAGCATAATTCCACAGCCGTTTCCCTTCTTCCAGCCTCACAGGGGTCTCCTGTGATTTAAAAGCTTCTTCCCTATGGCAGGCAGACTTGTAAAACTCTCAGGAACCTTCCCTGTGCCATAATGCCTGAGGATGGCTTGGTCACAGCCTCTTCTCTTTCTCATCCCAGGTCACAGCTACTTCTTCAAGGGCGCGTATTACCTGAAGTTGGAGAACCAAAGTCTGAAGAGCGTGAAGTTCGGAAGCATCAAGTCCGACTGGCTGGGCTGCTGAGCTGTCTCTGCCTCCCCCAGGGCCTGCCTCTCTATCACTTTCTGCACACCGGGCCCTGAGCACCAGGGAAGGACCCGGATGGGCCTGGCAGCCCTCAGCTCTGTAGTTAATCAGCATTCTCACTCCCACCTGGTAACTTAAGAAACCACAGAGTGGCTCTGCCCTGTGCTCCAAGAAAGGTGCTGATTGTACCCGTCCCAGGTGCCCCTCCCCCTCCACACCTCACCAGCCCTCCAGAGCCACCCCCAAAGAGATGCTTTGATATTCTCAATGCAGCCTTGTCTTGGGCTGCCCTGGTGCTGCCACCCTTCAGGCTCTTCTCCTTCCACAACCTTCTGTGGCTTTACAGCACCCTTGGAGCCAACAGAGACTGTCTGAAGAGGGCACTGGTGGCCCGACAGCCTGGCCTGGCATGGGGCAGTGGAAGAGGGGCATGGCCCGGTGGCCACGCCAGACACCTGGCCTTCTCACTGCTGGCTGCCTTAGAACCGTCCCTACATTAGCAGTTTGCTTTGTATGCACTTTGTTTTTTTTTGTTTGTTTTGATCTATTTTTCCACTTTGAAATTGCATTTCCTGACAGAAGGACTCAGGTTATCTGAAGTCACTGCACGATGCATCTCAGCCCACGTAGTGATGGTCCCCTTGGTCACTCTATTTAGTATGTCCCTCCGCTGTCACTTACTCCACTGGATGGAGGAAAACCAAACCCTGGCTCCTCACCCAGTCTCCCCTCGTCTCCCTTCAGCAGTTTCCCCGTGGGAAAAATCAACAAGTATGAATAAAGACACCGATTGAGTGGCCATGTTGGCCGGCTGTTTTAGCAGAGACTAGAGAGGGGCCCCAGCCCCAGCCAGAAGAGGAAACTTAGAAAGTCTAAATCTCCGCTCCCTGCAGCATACAGGTAACATATGCTGGAAAGGTCACAGATGCCCAAATAAACAGTGAGAGACTCAGGGTGGGTGAGCTGGAGTCCCTCTGTCCCGTGGAAAGAGCCCTGGAACAGCAGCGTTTCTGTTATTTAATTGCAGGGCCTTGGTCAAGGTTTCCTCTCTTCTTGAGTCTCAGTTTCTTTGTTGACAATAACACCAATTCTAATACTAATAACAGTGAACAACAGTAATACCCCTTCCATTAATAGAATGCTTACTATATGCCAGGCACTTCACGTGCATCACTTCATTTAACCTTTATACCAACCTAAAGAATGGAGAATATTATTAGTCAACTTTTATTGATAAGGAAACTAAGGCTTGGAGAAAAGTGATTTTCCCAGGATACCATAGATACTGGGTAACATCCTGACTCAAGGCCAAAGATGACCTAGAGAAGGCGCTTTAGCCGGAAGCTGAGTTATCTCCCTCAGCAGCATTAACCTTCACCTCCCCCAAAACCCTCTAAGTAAACTCAGCTAGGGGAGAAATGTGTGTGCTTTCTAAACACAGCTTCTATTAATGGGTAAGCTCCTTACCTTCCTCTCCAGCAGATTGCCCATCTTTAATCCCTTCCTATATAGAAATCCTGGAGCTGCTACAGAACAGAAACTTAAGGCCTGGGGTTATTTCAGAGGCCCTTTCTGGCTCCGATAGACTATTACTTCAGGCCTCTCATGGTGGGGCTGGTAGGGAAGGGGATGGTGAGTGCACAGGTCTCTCTGGAAGTGACCTTGGTGGAGTCCTCTTTTCTCCTGTGGCCTGCCCAATCGCTCCGGTCCTTGAGGGCTCTTGGAGAGACTGCCTTCTGTGCTAAAGAACCATAAGGGTCTGCCACCCTCTACTTGAAGACCCCAAAGCTGGGGCGCTTTATATCACGGCTGTAATATGTTGTTATTAAGGTTCTCTGTTAAATACTGAGAAAATTCAGCTGCTCCACTATGTAATACCTAAAAGGTGCCATTTCTTGAGTGCTTTTCTATGAACACTACACATGCATTATTTTACTTAATTGATACTACTGGGTTGGCCAAAAAGTTCGTTCGGGCTTTTCCATAGCGTGGTGTGGAAAAACCCAAACAAACTTTTTGGCCAACCCAATACAATCCTATGGGGTAGGAATTAGTTTTCCCATTCTGAGATGAGTATGCAAGCTCAGAGAGGTTAATTGAGTAGCTGAAGGCTGCATCTATCTGGTAGGGTTGGAAGGTTCTGAGATCCTACAGTGGACACCTTGGAAGGAGCAGCTGTCCCAGGGCCCAGAGTCAGATTCTCATCATGCCTCCAGCCTGCTGTGAGCAGTTGACCAGTAAAGATAAATCATTCACCATCTCCATCTGCCTCTCAGCCACTCAGGGCTTGACCAACTGATCTCAGGTCCTGGGAAAATCCTCCCCCTAACCCCCACCAACAAAGGTCCAGATAGGCCCTTGAACTTCTTCAGGGTGAAGTGGAGCCACAGCCCAAGTCACTTCCCTTTTTGAGGCCAGGTTCCTCATCTAGTGCAGAGGGCAGTGGTGGTTTTGTCATTTTCTAGTAATTGCAGCTTCAATTTTCCTTTGGAGAACTATCTCCCCATTGTCAGTCCATATTTTGAGTGAAAGAGATTCCACTCCTGGTACCAATTTCTATATTAGTCAGGAGTCTTAGCGGTAACATAAATATCCCACCCAAACGGGTTTAAGCAAAACCAAAACATACACCAGAAATCAAATTAACCCTGGATAATTAACCCTCTTACAGGAACAGCCCAGGGGTTGCTACTTGAATTGCTGGATTCAGGTTGTTTACGTGAGTTCCATTTATCCCCGATTACGAAGGGGGCAGCGGAGGCTCATGGAGACAGTGATTTGACCAACGTCAAAGAGCCAGTAAAAGCGAAAGGAGGGGCTTCCCTGGTGGCGCAGTGGTCAAGAATCCACCTGCCAATGTAGGGAACATGGGTTCGAGCCCTGGTCCAGGAAGATCCCACTATGCCGCGGAGCAACTACTGAGCCTGCGCGCCTAGAGCCCGTGCTCTGCAATGGGAGAAGCCACCGCGATGAGCAGCCCCCGCTCGCCGCAACTAAAGATAGCCCGTGGGCAGCAAGGAAGACTCAACGCACCCAAAAATAAATAAATAAATAAATTTCTTTTAAAAAAAAAAGCAAAAGGAAATCCAGGTCCGCCTGACCCTAAAGCAGAGAACTCAGCCTAAACTGTCTCTCATTGTGGGGTGCCTGGCTCTGAAGGAAAGTCCTTCACCCCCAAGGAGGCTTAGCTATTAACCCCAAGAGGAAGAGCCGGACAACCTAAAAGGGTGGGGGTGTGCTCAGGGGGTGGGGCCAGGGCCTGGGCGTGTTCAGAGCCGGAGGGGGCGGGGCGAGACCGGAGGGCGGGTAGGTAACTTTGGCGCCTGCGCAAAGACCCCGGACTCCTAAGCTGATCCTCCTCAAGCCTTGGCGGCAGCGGCAGCTCGTACGCGCCGCTTGGGTCTCTTCGCTCCTGTGAGGCGCCGGGCTCGGCCATGAACCGGTGCGCTGAGGCGGCGGCGGTGGCGGCCTCGGGACCCGGCGCGGGCGTCGGGAACGCGGGGCAGCGGCCGCCCAGAGTGCCCCGCCAGGCGTCCTTCTTCCCGCCGCCCGTGCGCAACCCCTTCGTGCAGCAGACACGGCTGGGCGCGGCGAGGCGCATCCAGGTGCGGGGCGAGGGTCTGACAGGGGACGCAGATCCAGGTGAGGGGCGTCTGACAGGGGACGCAGATCCAGGTGAGGGGCGTCTGACAGGGGACGCAGATCCAGGTGAGGGGCGTCTGACAGGGGACGCAGATTCAGGTGAGGAGCGTCTGACAGAGGACGCAGGTCCAGGAGAGGGACGTCTGACAGGGGACGCAGATTCAGGGGAGGGACGTGGGTCTGAGAGAGGAGGCAGTCTGAGGGGAGCTTGGGCCTGTCAGGGGAGGTTGTTGTCAGAGGGGAGTGGCTGAGGAGGGCGTGAGTCTGGGAAGCAAGGCTCTGAGGAAGACAGGGGTGTAGATCTGAGAGGAGAGGGCTTTTGAAGGGGCCATGAGTCTGCAGGGGACAGAGATGCGGGAGGGAGAATTGAGGGCCCTTGGAGGATGGTCTGGGGGCGTGTGTGAGAAAAGACGCAAAGAACAGGTGGGCCTTGGAGGAAGGTCCTAAACAGGAGGAGGCTGAGCAGGCGGGCCGTTGGCAGAGGAAATATTCCATGCTGAGAAGAGGGAACGACTGTGGGAGAACTTCGACTTGAGTGTGTGAAAGTCTAGTGGGAGGTCATCGTAGCACAGGAGAGTGGGTTTGGGGAAGTTTTCGCTTTGCCGCAGGGAAGGAGAGGAGTCAGTTTGGGATGGGAAGAGTAAGGGAGAAGGCAGGGAACCCAGGTCTGGAATTAGAACAAGAAGAAAGGCTGGGATGCTCTGGCTGAGCAGGGGCATCAAGGACGGGAAATCACAGTCTAAGAAAAGGGATAATATGGGACAGCTTAAGGTATTCAAGAGTTTTTGGTCCTGAGTCAGTTTTCACCCAAACACTTCTACATTCAAGGATGAGAAGCAGCTCAGACTTTCTTTCATTCTTAAAAACAGCTACATACAAAAAGGAAGTTCCCTGTCCTTTCCTTTTTCTTGTAAAACGCTGCATTTACCGTTAGCACTTACACTCGCTCTTTGGACTTCCTGTTTGGTGAAGTTAGTGATCAGAGAACAAGATAGACTATGCAAGCTACGTTTGTCCTTTGTGTTCTGCATGGAAAAAATGGTTTTAATATTTTCCTGTCCATCTCACCCATTTATTTACTTTGGATTTGAAATAGTGTAATTTTTGCACGGCATACTTGTGTGCCCTGAGACTGTTGTTCTCCACGATGGAAGCAGGTTAAGTGAATATCTTCAGGAAAAAACGCAGACGCACTTTTTGGCTAAGCAGCATGGGGTGGTGGTTAGAATAATGGTAGGTGGGTGTCTGGTTGAAGAAAGATGTGAGAGAGGAAGAGGAAGATAGTGATGTAGTAATACCTCTTTGTAAAGGAACTAAATGTTTCAAAATTTGATCTTCATGTCTTTAAATGGATAGATATTCCCTTTATATCTTAAAACTTCTGAAACAATAAATACATTGACTAACATTCAAGGTTCCTTTTGGTCTGATTGAGTCAAATCGGTCATACTTAAATGAAAGTCATGTCTGTCTATTTGGCTTCATGTTTTGGAGAGAGGCTCAAAGTGGCATATTTATAAGTATTTATATTGTACCTGGAGTAAATTATTAAGTTTTTTGAGTTTTGGGGGATTTTTTAATAGCATGCCTGCAACCATTTTGAGAGCACTTTCAAATAACCCTGCAAGAGTTGTAGGATGATGGAAAGATCACTAGTCTTAGTCAGAAAACCTGCTCAGGCCCTGCCATTTATTAGTTGTATAGCTTTGGCCAAGTCACTTAACCTCTCTGAACTTCACTTTCCTCATCTATTAAATTGGAATAATAATACATGGAAGAGGGATTAAAATTTAAGTGAGATAATGTGTGAAAGAATCTGGTATTGTTTGCTGATCTTAATATTGATAGTTATGCTCTTTGTTATCTACAATTGTATACTGCACTTAAAATTTACCACTTGGATTGGATAGAAATGAATATAGTCTCGATATTTTTTTAAAAATTTAAAATGCGGGCTTCCCTGGTGGCGCAGTGGTTGAGAGTCCGCCTGCCGATGCAGGGGACACAGGTTCGTGCCCCGGTCCGGGAAGATCCCACATGCCACGGAGCAGCTGGGCCCGTGAGCCATGGCCGCTGAGCCTGCGCATCCGGAGCCTGTGCTCTGCAACGGGAGAGGCCACAACAGTGAGAGGCCCGCGTACCGCAAAAAAACAAAACAAAACAAAACAAAACAAAACAAAATTAAAAATGCATGTAGACCAGAGATTCCAAGGTAGTTTCAATGGCTTGAACAGTCTGGGTAAAAAGAAAATTTAAATAGACATGATTGAAAAACAATGTTGTCTGTATTATCCAGTTTAAAAGATTGATATACTTGCATTTAAGTATGATTTGATATGATTAAATCAGACTAAATTTAATCCTAAATGATGATCAACGTCTTGCTTAAGGACTGTTGTGACTTTTGTGTCTCATTATAGGGCTTAGCTTTATTGCTCCCCTTCTCTTTTTTGACCGTTTAAGGGTCTGCTACACAATGGCATATAAAAAATTAGCCTAGCTTCTACTTTCTCAATAGAATATGGAATTAAAATGAGTGGTTGTAATTGTGGGGTCATTTACCATACCAAAAATATTTGTTGGATGCCTACTATGTGCCAGGCACACTGTTAATCCCCGGAGACATAGCAATGAACAAGAGAAATAAGGACCCTGCCTATTTAAAGCTTGTATTTCACTGAAAAAGTTAAACGAGCAAGTATAGAAATATATAATTCCATGTTTTAGTAAGTGCTATGAAGTAAATCCAGAGAGGAAAACAATCCCAATAGAGTGTTGAAAGAAGGCCTTCCTACAGAGATGACATATTACCAAATGGCAATATAATGGGTAATCCTTTTAATTCGACAGTTACTCAGAATTGATTTTGTCATCTTAATAATGTTTAAAGATTAAAATTTTAAATCAACTTTGTGTATATACTAGCAGCAAACAATTGCAAAATGAAATTAAATAATCTCATAATAGCAATAAAATGACCTGAAATACGTAGGAATATATTAACCAAAAGCATGTAAGACCACTACAATGAAAACAACAAAACATTGTGAGAAATTAATGAAGATTTACATAAAATGAAGAGATATACCATGTTTATAAGTTTGAAGAATCGACATTATTAAGATGATAATTCCTCCCAAATTGATCTATAGTTTCATTGAAATCTCAACAAAAATCCCAACAGGCTTTTTGTTTGTGTGGAAACTGACTAATTCTGAAATTTATGTGGAAATGCAAAGGATCTATATTAGCCCAAAAAAAGCTTGAAAAAGAAAAAGTTGGAGGACATACACTACCTTATGTCAAGAATTACTAGAAAGCTACAGCAATTAAGAGGGTAGGGTAGTATCAACAGAAGGACAGATGAATAGATCAATTGAACAGAATAGAGAGCCCACATGTATGTTCAATTGATTTTTGACAAAGTGGCCAAGAGAATTTATCGGGGAATGTCAAGTCTTTTCAAAACTTGGTTCTGGGGAATTCCCTGGCGGTCCAGTGGTTAGGACTCGGCGCTTTCATTGCTGGGGCCAGGGTTCAGTCCCTGGTTGGGGAACTAAGATCCCGCAAGCCTCAGCACAGCCAAAAAAAAAAGGAGGGGGGATGGAATTGGTTCTGGAACAAGTAGATAAATCTATGGATAAAAATGAAACTTGACGGGCTTCCCTGGTGGCGCAGTGGTTGGGGGTCCGCCTGCCGATGCGGGGCACGCAGGTTCGTGCCCCGGTCCGGGAGGATCCCACGTGCCGTGGAGCTGCTGGGCCCGTGAGCCATGGCCGCTGAGCCTGCGCGTCCGGAGCCTGTGCTCCGCAACGGGAGAAGCCGCAACAGTGAGAGGCCCGCGTATGGCAAAAAAAAAGAAAAAGAAAGAAAAAGAAACTTGATCCCTTCTGCACACTACACAGAAAGTAATTTAAGATGGATCATAGTCTTGAACATAAAAGCAAAACTCATATATCTTCTAGAAGAAGAAGAAAATATAAAATATCTTCATGATCTTGAGATAGGTAAAGATTTCTTAGAAAGGATGCAGAAGAGAACTAAACAGAAAATAAAAATTGATAAATTAGTCTTCATCAGAATTAAAATTCTTCTCATCAAAGGATACCATTAAAAAAATGAAAAGGCGGACTTCCCTGGTGCTCAGTGGTTAAGAATCCGCCTGCCAATGCAGGAGACACGGGTTTGAGCCCTGGTCTGGGAAGATCCCACATGCCGTGGAGCAACTAAGCCCGTGTGCCACAACTACTGAGCCTGTGCTCTAGAGCCCGTGAGCCACAACTACTGAGCCAGTGTGCCACAACTACTGAAGCCTGCGCACCTAGAGCCCATGCTCCGCAACAAAGAGAAGCCACCACAATGAGAAGCCCATGTACCACAATGAAGAGAAGCCCCGGCACACCGCAACTAGAGAAAGCCCATACACAGCAACAAAGACCCAACACAGACAAAAATAAATAAATTAAATTTAAAAAAAAATAAAGAAAATGAAAAGGCGAGCCATGAAATGGGAGAAAATATTTTCAATACATGTATTGAAAAAGGGCTTGTAAACAGAACATATAAAGAACTCCTACAAATTGATAAGAAAAGGACTAACTACCCAATAAAAATGGGCCAAAGACTCGAACAGACAGTTAGGTTTAAGGGATGACCAATAAGCACATGAAAAAATGTGCTCACCATCATTGTTCATCAAGGAAATATGAATTAAAACCATAGTGAGATATCATTTTACACCCACTAGAATGGCTACAAAGACTGACAACACTGAATGTTGATGAGGATGTGAAGCAACAGGAAATTTCATACTTTGTTGGTGGAGATATAAAATGATACAACTACTTTGGAAAACAGTTTGGCATATCCTGGCCCAACAATTGAAATGAAAATGTATGTCCACATAGAGACTCAAATGAAAATGTATGTCCACATAGAGACTCAAACATTAATGTTTACTCATAATAGCTAAAAACTTATAATAGGCTAAATGTCCCTGAACAGATTAATGGATAGATTAAATGTGATATATTCATACAGTGGAATATTACTCTGCAATTAAAAAGACTATACTACTGATACATATGACAACATGGTTGAATCTCAAAAATATGAAGTGAAAGAAGCCAGACATAAAAGAGTACATACTGTGTGGTTTCATTTATATGAAAATATAGAACAGGCAAAAACTATAGTGAAAGAAAGACTGACTGTCAGTGGTTGCTATACACTGAGGATATATTGACTGCAAAGAGGCACAAGGGGGGCTTCCCTGGTGGCGCAGTGGTTGAGAGTCCACCTGCCGATGCAGGGGACACGGGTTCATGCTCTGGTCTGGGAAGATCCCACATGCTGTGGAGCGGCTAGGCCCGTGAGCCATGGCTGCTGATCCTGCGCGTCCGGAGCCTGTGCTCCACAACAGAAGAGGCCACAACAGTGAGAGGCCCGCGTACCACAAAAAAAAAAACAAAAAAAAACCCCAAAGAGGCACAAGGGAACTTTTCTGGGTGATGGAAATGATCTATATCTTGATTATAGTGGTGTCTGCATAGGGTTATGCATTTGAAAATCTCATACTTAAAATAGGTGCATTTTATTTTATGTAAATTATGCCTTAGTAAAATTGATTTTTATAAAAGACTACAAACACCAAATGTCAGCAAGGATGTACAGTAACTGAAATTCTCATTCACTACCAGTAACACTTTAAAATGATACAGCCACTTTGGAAAATTGTTTGGCCAGTTTCTTATAAAGTTAAACTACATCTATGACCCAGCAATTCCACTCCTAGGTATTTACCTAAGAGAAACGAAAGCAACTATTCCCAAAAAGGCTTGTAGAAGAATGTTTGTAGTGGCTGTATTCATAATAGCCCACAACTGGAAACAGCCCAAATGTTCATCAACAGGAGAATAGACAGATTGTCATATGGTCATATAGTAGAAAGAATGACTTACTGACATCGAAAGCAACATAGTTGAATTTCAAAAACATTATGTTAAGTGGAAGAAGTACACACAAGAATGCATAATGTATGATTCCATTTATATGACACTCAAGAACATGCAAAACTAATAATATATGATGATAGACATCCAGCATTCGTTGCCTAAGAGGATAAGGATTGACTGAAAGAGGTATGAGGCAACTTTCTGAGTGGCAGATGTGTTCTGTATCTTGATTGAGGTGATGTTTACAAGAGTACACATCTATCAAAACTCATTGATTATACATTTAAGGTCTGTATATTTCCTTGTATGTTTTGTTTTGTTTTTTTTTTTTTTGGTGGTACGCGGGCCTCTCACTGTTGCGGCGTCTCCCGTTGCGGAGCACAGGCTCCGGACGCACAGGCTCCAGACGCACAGGCTCAGCGGCCATGGCTCACGGGCCCAGCCGCTCCAGGGCATGTGGGATCCTCCTGGACTGGGGCACGAACCCGAGTCCTCTGCATCAGCAGGCAGACTCTCAACCACTGCGCCACCAGGGAAGCCCTGTATGTAATTTTTAATTCAGTCATACACATGTACACATATAATTTGATCGAGATCTGATAACTACAATATTTTTGGCATTTCTCATAAATTATTTGATGATGCTCAGATTCACATTATGGGCCAATAGAGACAAGAAGGGCAGCACTGTTTGAGTAGTGTAATTGGCTAAAAAAAAAAGAAGACAATTTGTGATGTATAAGGATAGTTTATTTCACTTGAAAGACATTATGGGATAGGATTAAGAGCAAGAGCTTTATAACCACATTGGTTTCAAATCCTGGTTCTGCCACTCACTGTGTGATCTTAAGCAGTTTAACTTCATTCCCTCTGTGCCACTCCTTTCTTGTATGTAAAACAGCTTAAGGTTGTAAGACTCATAAGTTACTACATGCCAAGTGCTTAGAGTGTCTGGTACATAGTAAGCACTCAGTATTATTTGCTGTTCTTATTTATTTAGTTTTTATTCTTATTCTTATTTAGTTTTTATTATTTCTTGTATTTCCTCCCCCATCTCCTTATTGTTAGTTATAAAGGACTGGCAGGTATATAAAATAATACATTTACTTCTTCACACTCTAATGCCTTTACTAATATTCATCCTACTTATAGCTCTCAAAAAACTATTTCCCCCTCTTACCTTGCCAGCTTCTGCTTGCTTCTTAAAGCAAGACGTTTCAGCTTCAACTCCTCCAGGAAGCTTTCTCTGACTACTAAGTCCAACAAACCTTTTCTTTGTTCCCCCAGCAGCCCCTATTCACATTCATTTATATACAGATCAGGCAGTACTTGGTTTTCTTCCCTGTTTCTTTTGCTGCTTTGTAGGCTTTGTGAGGTCAGATACAATGTCTTATTTTCTTTGTGCTTAGATCTTTGTCTGGTATAGGGTAATGCCCAATTCATCTTTGAGTGAATGCATGAATAGCATAAGATTTTCCTCTTATGTATTTCTGTTTGATAACTACAGCATTAAAATAACGTCATCTGTTTTTTTAATCAACTTTGATTTCAGATTTTCTTTCTTGGAATTATCCTGCTTCCAATTCGTGCCCTGTTGCTTGCATTAATTTTATTACTGGCGTGGCCATTTGCTGCAATTTCAACAACATGCTGTCCTGAAAAGCTGACCCACCCAATAACTGGTTGGAAGAGGTAAGAAATAACTATGTCTAAATATTAGGAAAATCAAGATAAAGAAGAGTTTGTCAAATTTTAGTCAGTGAACAACAATTATGACTCTGAATATAGGATATTTTGGAATATAGTTTTTACAGGCTGTGTCACTAAAAATAAAAAATAGGAGGTATAGAAATTCTGTGAAGAGATTAGCTCTTTATCTTTAAATAAATAGAGATCTCAACTCTAAACTACAGGGCAAGGAGAGATCGGTCATTTCCCTGTGCCCTCTGGAAAAGTTCTTTGGTTTTCTGTGTCTCACTTCTCCTTACCGTGAAATTAAAGTTAGAGAAACATCCTCAGGAGTTAGTTGCTTAATAGCGCCTCACTATATTATTATGTGAATGTTGAGAGAATTCTATAGGAAGCCCATTTTTTAAAGCTCCCACTGGATGTCTTATGGGAGACATTTTTCATGCAAAGCTATAATGCTTATTCACATACTGAGATGTCTGTCTTGTGTTTGTACTTCCAGGGCTATTTTTTTGTTTCTCTACTCATCTGAGTTTATCAAGGACAGAGACTGGATCTTACTTGTCTTGTGTGTCCAACACAATTCCTGGCACAATTTGATGAATTAACTAATCTTTAATGACAGATTCTTTTTAAAGAGTAAACAATTCTATTTCTGGAATTGAAATTTCTTTGTTCCAGAGAAGTGAGATGGTAAATTTACTTCTTAAGATTCTTGATGATGTCTAAGGGCTATAATGATATAGGTAATAAGGCTTACTTTTAAAATTTTATTCCTAAAATAATTCCGAGGACAATTTCCACATACCGGTTCTAAAAGTTTTGGGAGGTAGCAGCATCCTTGTTACACAAATATAGATTTCCAAGGTGACTCCTTTGAAGGACAGTACTGATTTGGATTTCTCAGTGGTGGATGCATGTTGAAGATTCATTCTTGTTACTTTATAGTCACAGAATAAAGGAGCCACTTATTAGCCACATGGCCTTGGGAAAATTACTTCTCTGGGACTCAGTTTTCATGTCTATAAAATGGGGATAATAATAAATGCTATCTATTTCATAAAATTGGGCTAAGGATTAAAGAAATTAATATGCATAAATTACTTAGAACAGTGCCTGGCAGAAAGAGCTCCACTGAAGTGTTAGCTATTCTTCTTAGCTCACGTTTTAAAATGAAGTGCTCCAGCTTGTCTTGGTTTTTGCATTGTGCTTTAGAGTAAAACCCTGCTGTTAGCTGCGGTTGGCAAAGCTAATTATGTCCTTTTTTGTATTTATTTCCAAAGGAAAATTACTCAGCCAGTCTTGAAGTTTCTAGGCCATGCCATGTTCTTTTCAATGGGATTTATAGTTACCGTGAAAGGAAAGATTGCAAGTCCTGTGGAAGCACCAATTTTTGTTGTTGCCCCTCATTCAACATTCTTTGATGGAATTGCCTGTGTTGTGGCTGGGTTACCTTCTATAGTATCTCGACATGAGAATGTGCAGGTGCCTCTGATTGGCAGTAAGTACTTTATAAGATAACAGAGATAAAATATTTTCATGTTCATGCTTTCAATTTAGAAAATCATGTATAGTTCGTTGGTAGGCTTTTAAAAAACTTTAAAATAATAAAACACTTCAAACATATTTCCTTGCTTTAATGAGGTACTATATCACAAGAATGAATTTATGAAAAAAGATTAAAGACTTCCCTATCTGTACCCTTATCATTCTTTTTAAGTCTAAACTCTGTCACTGCACCATCACCTCTTTCTGCTCCTAAATATGCCAAAAAGAACAGTTTTTAAATACCAAACATGGTAGATTTTTTGGAGAGAGAATTTAATCTAAGAATCTGTGAAAGCACTGGTTACATGCTATTTCAGTGAATTTCTCTTTAGGGTATTAGACTGATAAATAAATGCACTAAGTCTTTTCTCCTAACTCTGTTTTCTTCATTATTGTCCAGATCTCCATGAGGGACAAATGTGTAACTCTTTGAAAATTATGATGTGGAACAATTAATGCTTCCTGCCATAAAAAATAATGAAGCAAGTGAAATGTTTTTCCCACCAGATGCTTTGCTCTCTCCCCAGGGGATTAGTCTCCAAGTAACTGCTACCAGTTGTCCCAAGGTTATTGCCAAGCATCAAGTGGTGAGAAAGTGCGTGTGAAAACTGCCTGATGTTGCCTTGGTACTCTGGAGAAATAATAGTAGTTCTTACAGCTTTGTCATTCATCTAAGAAAGACAGACTCTCTCTCTCTCTCTCTCTTTTTTCTTAAGGTAACCACCCTGCTTTGTGTAATATGACATTTTCCCCAAAAGTTGTTTAGCAATAGTCTTTTGGTAAATTGAGGTTTATTTTGCATGTGCTAGGAAGCTACCTACTTAAAAGACTATTGCGCTGAAAATTTTAGTAAGATAAATAATAATTGCCTCCTACCCATGTGTACTATGACTTCACATAATCGGTTTGCAGGATATTCCTGAAATAAAACAAGATAATCTTATAGTATATTCCAAACGTTTAATGTCAATTGAGGAAGAAGTCTTTTAGGGAGAAAACTGCATTTGCTTCTTTTCATATTCCTGCTGCTAACTTCTGTTAAATCAGTGAAATATTTTTAGGTCTAAATATCCACCTATCCTTTTGAAACTGGAAGCTAAGTTCTAATAAACTTTGAATTAGAGGGCTTTTTTAAGTTGTTCTCTTTGATTTGCTATCATTTTAATTTTCCATACAATTTGTTTTATGATTTATCTGGTATCATTGCTATAGTAGCTTTAGCCCCAAAAATGACTTAGTTGTGACTTTTCATTTGTTTTAAAGGAATATTGCGGGCTCTGCAACCAGTGTTGGTGTCCCGTGTAGATCCAGATTCTCGAAAAAACACAATAAATGAAATAATAAGGCGGGCCACATCAGGAGGGGAATGGCCCCAGGTAAAACATAGTAGATGTTTATTTAAATATATTGAAAGTTTATTTATTGTACACTTGTATACATACTCATTTGGATCCACAGATCCAATACTGGGGGACACCTGCTAGATGTCTAGAAGCAGAATAAATGAGTGAGGATTAAAAAGTCCTCTTCCCCATGAGATACTCTGTGGAATTAAATGTATCATTCTTTTTTAGTCTCCAAACTCTTTGAACTGGTTTTTACTTTGTGTCATAAAAAGTAATTCTCTACCTCTGAATTTATTTACCCTTTTAAAGATGAGATACTGAAGCTCAGTTATACTCAACAATGTGGTGGGTTTATTTTGAAAATGATTAAAATCTTAAGTTTATCTGAAGTGTATTTAGACAGTCTTTTTAGTTCAGGGGCATATTAGAATCACCTGTAGAACTTTTTCACATTTTACCATCCCACCACCTCCTTCCCCTGGAATGCTTTTTGAAGGTGTGGAAGGGGCAACATTTATTGCATAAATGGAGCCTCATGGGTGATTCTGATAAGTACCCCTCTATCTTTGCCCAGGTGAAAACAAGTGATCTCTAGCAGAACTCATGGTCCTGAGGTGATCTGGCCACTCATGGTGATTTGTAGTTGTTAAAGTACCAAGAGGCATATGACCAACCAGGAGGTTTTAGAAACCAAGGCATGTAAGGAATGATTTAAAAAGTCACTGGGAAGAAATGACATTTGGAATAAGGGTGTGATTTTGCTCTTGGCTCCAAGGAATGTATCTAGGACTTGTGGGTGAAAGTTAACAATTAGGTAGATTTCAGTTCATTTTGCTCATCTCAAGTTTTCTGTCCAGAATTAGAATGGTCTGATTTGGAATCTGTTTCTGGAATGTTCAGGCATTGGCTAAGCAACAACTTGGGTGGGATATTGTAAAAAGAATTCAAGCATTAGAGATGCTATATGACTTTTAATGCCCCATCCAGTTCTTGAGATTTTATGATTTACTCTATATTAATTTATTGTTCATAGTATATAGAATATTCACTCCATGAATCATATTTGATATTGTATCCGATTGGGGTAGGAAACCTGGTTTTTTTTTTTTAATTGGAGGATGGAACTGCACCTATTCACAATTTTTATTTTAAAAATAACTTGTTATTGTGACAATTTAGCTTAATAATGTTTTCCTCCTCTAATTATTATAAAATACCCATTACTAACTGCTAGTGCAGGGATTTTCTTTTTTGTTTTATGTGCCTAGCAATTTACTCATTGCTAAATTCTAAAAGCTTCAGAAAAATGAAGCTGCTATGCTGTTCAGTTAATGAGGAACTGTACAGCATATCTTTTGTGTGGAAAACATAAAGAAGTATATTAAAAGCTAAAAACACCTCCTCAAAAAAGGACATTAAATTGTATTCCATATGTCAACGAATTGAAGTAAGCATAAAGCATATTGTAGGCATTTCCTCCTTTTTTCTCAGTACGTCCCAAAGCTACATGTTGTAAGAGGGAATATCATTTAATGGGAAAACTGAAACAAAGAAGTAGGAAATGATTTGGTTAAGGGTGTACAGCAGTAGAAGAAAGCATTTAATATTGCCTAAAATGCACACTTTGACCATGATTCAGGGTCTACATCTTCTTCGAAGTTTATTCAGATCATTAGCATCATCATTAAGAAATATTTACTATGTGTATTCTCTCTTCAAAGCTTTAATTCATTTTCTAGTTATCTTAATGGTCAGACTACACTTCTTTTAGAGCAAAACCGAATAATCAGATTCTAGCTTTCACTAGAATCAAGTGTTAGCCTTTTATTTTATTTTTGCTTTATAAAAATTGGCAACTATTTGCAAAGTCTTAAGAAAGCAAGTAAAGAGCTAATCTATTAATTAGACTGAAATATTAAATCTATTCCTTTTCTCCCAAGATACTAGTTTTCCCAGAAGGTACTTGTACTAATCGTTCCTGTTTGATTACTTTTAAACCAGGTGAGATCAATTAAATTATGTATTGTGACAAAGTAGTATGGAAGATTTCTCAATGATCTGATAATAAATATACAAAATAACTTGTCAGTTTGCTTGGAGCATTTCTTATTTTCTGATAAAATGTTTTGAATGATGTGGATCCACAGAACTCACTCCTTTGCTTTCTCTTTTGGTATCATAACCCCTTCTTCCTTGGAATGTCCAGTGTGTGTGTGTGTGTGTGTGTGTGTGTGTGTGTGTGTGTGTGTGTTTGAGCAGAAGCCACTAGCAGATTTTTCTTTTCCTCCAAAGATAACCCTCACAGACACTTGGGGTCCTATGTCATCAAGTTAGAAAACCTACTTCAATTATCATTAAAATACCTTCAATTCCTTCTAAGGTTCACTCCTTTTTAAAATATTATGAAGGCTTCCCTGGTGGCACAGTGGTTGAGAGTCCGCCTGCCAATGCAGGGGACACGGGTTCGTGCCCCGGTCTGGGAAGATCCCACATGCTGCGGAGCCTGCGGGTCCAGAGTCTGTGCTCCGCAACAGCAGAGGCCACAACAGTGAGAGGCCCGCGTACCGCAAAAAATATATATATATATTATGAAGTTGTGAATTTTATAGTAATTTGTAATTTCATATGTCATTTCACAGTAATTATTAATACTTTAAAATGTTTTTGTATTGGCTGCTAGAATGCTCAGAGCCAAAGTTAGAACTCAATTCTAGCAAGTATGATAGTTTAGGGTTCAAGCATTTGGTTTCAACTAGATTTTCTTTCTTTATTTTCTCTTTGTCTTAGTTTCATCATTACTGTTTTTTTTAATCCTGTTGAATAATAGGTATTTGGCAAATGAAAACAAATGGAGATATAAGTAATATTTTAAGTGACTTAGGCTTAACATTTAATATTTTGCTTACATATTTCTGAATTCAGAAATCTGTCATTTTGGCTAACACTAGGGATTTACCAACATTTAGCCAATAGTTTATATGTACTCTTAAAACATTTAACATATTTACATCATTTATTATTAATTTTTAAATTCACTGTAAAGTTTGTGTTCATATAAAGAGCATGTTATAAAATTTCACTATATGGTTATAGGGGCCTTCATTCCAGGAGTTCCAGTGCAGCCAGTTCTCCTCAGATACCCAAACAAGCTGGTAAGCATCGTAGTTTACTATGGGAAGAATCTCAACATTCCAAACAGCACAAATTCTCTAGGACCCCTTTTGTTTGAATAAATAAAATAGATGAATAGATAAATGGTGGGAGCAGATGGGTAGACTCATTCTCCTTGCTACAATTTAGTTTTTAAAAATTTGCAAGATAGGCACATATTGGTTGATACCAATTTGACATATTGCTTTTGCTATTACTAAGCTATAGGAAGATATTTCCTTAGCTTCTACCCTGTAGTCACTGTGATGGTATGGTTAAGTCTCAGATTCAGGGTCTCTTAGACTGGACTTCAGAAAACTCTCATAAATTTGTAGTTTTCATTAAGCTTAGAAGGAGAAATCTCCTGATTCACTGGTCATTACTGGTGGAGAAGGATTGAAGTAGTAGGATAAATTTGGAAGAGGCTTGGTGTTTAATTACGGGCTCAGTACTTCATAGCTGTGTGACACTTGGCAAGTAGCTTAAGTAAGGAAATATCTGAAAAGAACCTAACATCCTATAGAAAGTCCATGTGGGCTCAGGAAATACTCTTCTGCTCCAGCGAGGAGCTTTGTCTTTTTCTGGGTATTGACTGCATCACCATTTTCCTAAAAAAAGTGGTTTTTTGGCAGGGGGAGGGATGTTCTGTTTTGGAGAGGAGCTTTCTTTACTAGAGAATTTACATAAGAGCCAGGATGTAATTATTAAGCATCTGTGTCATTTAAGATTGAGTTCTTAATCCATTCAACTTTCTATCAGCGGCTTATTTCTCAACCTTGGACACTTGTAGTTAAAAAATTAAAATTCATCAGATTTTTACTCAGTGTACTTCTACCTGTGGGTTTGAATTTGTCATTTACTCAAATTCTTTCACTGTGTACTACCTCACTACTGTAGTCTTTTTTCCCCAAATAAACTTTTTTTTTTAAGAACTGATGTATTCTGGTTTTTGTAAGCCAGTTAATTATCCAGATATGTTCATATTAGGAGAAAAATAGTTAAGCATGCACAAGTTTTTTTAAAAATTCAAAGCAACTTAATTCCATAAAAAGATAGGTGGTTACATATGGAAGACAGATCTTTGCCATGTAGATATGTGATCCAAGAATTTATAGATCAGTTCACTCTTGTTTAACAAAAATAGTATGCTTGTCTTACTTTTCAGCATATTGCTTTTAATTCAGAAAGAAAGTATATTCAGTATCAAAATAAAATTTTTGTTTTATTTGGTATTTTTTCTCTGAACTAACAGTTTAAATACTATTGTTATTCTAGGATACTGTGACATGGACATGGCAAGGATATAAATTGTAAGTTGCTTATATTATTATTAGTTTATATAAATTTTATTCGAGTGAAGAAAAAGAATTTGTTCTTTTTTTTAAAAAAAAAAAAGCCTTGTTTTTGTAGAAGTAAAGATTTCTAATCAGATCCTTGAATCTTGTAACTGAGAAGTTTCTGTAGAGAGCATAACTATCTTGCCCATTAAACCCCAGTGTCTGCCATGTGCAGAATTCTAGTTGTTTGTCATGTTCTAATGGGTCTCAAGTGTTTATCTACCAATTCTTAAGAAACATTCCAGTGATCTCATTTGAATCCTACTTAGCTTAAATTTTGTAATTTCATTCCCATTGCAAATTTAGCATTATCTGGTGTCTCCATCTTTATTTTACTGTATTCGTTTAAACAGTCCAGAGCATTTTAGTCATATGGCCTGAAATAGTTGTGATGTGTCTGATTTGAGTTGAGGAAATAGCTAACCAAGCTTTCACTTCCACTCTTGGATTTTAAGAGCCTAAGGATCAGCAGTTTCTATAAATGTTGAAGAGAAGAATACAGTTTCACTGTTAAGCTAGCCGAAGTGAAATAGACCTTTTAAAAAGAGCAGAACATGTAGAATCTTACTTACTCTCAAGAAGTTCTTTTGTTTGGCTCCCCTGCCTGTTTACGTGCCTCCTTTGGTCCTTTACCTGCATGGAGTGTCGACACCCATCTATCTTCACCTCAAGGAACCTGGCTGGCTTTGGGTGGCAGAAGAGAAAAAAAAAATAAACCTTCCCCAAACTTAAAAAAATTTTTAAAAGACAGCCTGTTTATATTTTGGATTTGAGGACTTTCCCAGGACTTATGAAGTAATGCCTTTTGATACTGTTATACACAGAGCTCAAATTATTGATGGATAGGTGACAATCACTTGGAAATATTTAAAAGAAATCATCATTTGCCTTCAAGTACATTGTAGACAATCCAAACAACTTCTGAAAATTAGATTTTTTTAACTAAAACATACTTATTTTCTCCATTTTTTTGTGTATGTAAGTTGCTTTGAAATGATACATTTAAATAGCCAATTACATGTGTTAATAAACATTGATATGCCTGAGACATTTATGTTCCTGTTATACTTCAGTCCCTAGTAGTTGAAGTTAAGTAAACAACACCAAAAATAAGGAACATAAATTGTAAAAGGTATCTACACATTATGCTATCTTTAACCCTACAGGAAATCAGTCTATTCCCTTGGCTAGAATACGTATTTCCTGTCATTACTAATTACGAATTCCTGGTTTTCAACTTCTATACAAGGGGAAAGTAGGAGAAACAAGTAGTATGAGAGCATTTTAGAAAAAGAAGTGCCTGAAAATTGAGGGGATAACATATTTAAATTTCCAGAGGTGTGTCATCCTTGGGGCCTTTACAAGTTAAGTCCTCATAGAGATAGTGACTTTGGGTTCATTGTGACTTTTTTTGGTTTTGCAGCTGGGCTGGTGGATGTGAAGGTCAAATAGGAAGCTTTTCTGGAAGGGAGATCAGGGGTAAATAGAGTGGTTGAGTTAATCTAAGCTCTAACCTGAGAAACGTGTGACAGAGGGGGAAAAATAGAATTCAGCAAAGAAAGAGAGGAAAAAAAGTATTTTCAGAGTTAAAGATTTCTTAGGATTTATAAACAAACACAAAATCTTCTAAAGATACAACGTTGTTTTATCCAAGTGCCACATCACACTTACGTGTGGTAACCTCTTGTTTCCACCTTTATCTTCTGGTCTTCATGTTATATTTAGCACTGTGTCTCTTACTTCTAAATCAGTTTTCTCAGTTGTCCTGGCTCCAAGTACTACTCTGACTCAGGATCTAGGGAAGGGATTTTACACCAAAGCAGATGTTCTAGGGGAGAGGAGACTCAGGGACTAACCATCAAGAAGGGAAAGCCTTGGAAAAGCCGTTTTATGTCAGTCTAAGAAGTGTTGTTTGGTTTGTCTGTAGTGTGGACAAGTGAAGTTTAAAGAGATCTTGTGTGTGCTTTCATTTGTGTGTTTTTTTTTTTCTTTAACAGCATTCAGAATTTTCAGAACAAAATATGTATTCAAGTCATTGAATTCCAAAGCTCAATTTAAATCATTAAAGAACAATTTACTTAATGATAGTTAATATGGATTGGCTTTGTGGCTTGGAGTTGATAGTAAAAGATTCTTTCCCTTTCAAACAGAAGATATGAGAACTGACACATTAACAATTTATAATTAATTATGGAATTAATAAACCCGTTTCCCAAATTCCTTCTTTTAAGTAAATTCCTTGTTTAAATTCCTAAATTCCTTGTCTTAAGTAAGTCCCTTCAAGCAATTTTTACAGGTAAATCATATTTTAATTTCTTAGTAGCAAAAAAAGCTTGGTTGGTTGTTTTCTTAAACTTGTAGTCTAATTTACCCTGCCTGACTTCTGGGTCATCCGTCTACATGAGGCGAAATAAAAATCCCATAGAAATCTTAGCCAGAGAGTCTAAATATACGCTGGAAAGCTGCAAGTAGGAACCATTTCAAAAATTATCTTTGAGAGGATTGATTATAACCACTTTAAAGAAAGCCTTTGTTGGGCTTCCCTGTTGGTGCAGTGGTTGGGAGTCTGCCTGCCAATGCAGGGGACATGGGTTCGTGCCCTGGTCCAGGAGAATCCCACGTGCAGGAGAGGCCACGGCAGTGAGAGGCCCGCATACCGCAAAAAAAAAAAAAAAAAAAACAAAAGCCTTCGTCTAGCTTTACAATGAAATCTGAAACTTTTCAGAAAATTTCCCCATAGCTAAAACATTTATTAATAACTGGGACAATGATGATAAAGTTTCTGCTTTTAAGGAAAGGCCCACTGGTTTTTTGTTTTTTTTAATATTAGAAAAGAATTTAGTAATGTTTTACTCAGCAGTTTTTCTATAAACATATTAATGTACCTTAAAATGTGACCATGGCTAGTTTCTCTAGGCCTATGAATCTTAGCTGTCAAGAAGACTTCAAATTTGGGGTTTAGTCTGCTGAGCTGCGGCTCTGACCCACAAATACATATTTGGTATTGCATTCAGCAATTTAACTTTTGAATATCAAGAATAGTTCTCTAAACCCAAGAAGTGTTATAGCTACAGTGTGGCATTTATAAATGCAGAATACATACAAAGAGTGACATGGGGTTGCTTGTATGTAAAGAAAAGATTGTTCAGTAATATTAGATGGTACTTGTATTACCACATAAAGATGGCCTTCTCTTTTTTTCTCTTCAGCATTCAACTTTGTGTGCTCACTTGCTGCCAGCCCTTCACAAAGGTGGAAGTTGAGGTAAGTGGTTCAAAATGTAGCCTTGGAGCCTAAGATTTGGCCTTTCCTTTCATTGTGAATTTTTAGTCTAGAGAGACCAGATGTAGAAAGATTGGAAGTTAAATCCGCCACCTTGAAAATAAGCCCTGGTCTTTTGCAAATTGTGTGCCTAAACCCAGTCTGTCAACCCTAGCCCTTAGAACTGTGTTAGGAAACACAATTTCCTAACTTCTGGGAACTTCCAGCATGTCACCACCCTGGCTGGCCAGATTTGCATCACCCGTTCCTATCTTTTAATCCTTTTAGTGCCGACCTCTGCCAAGTTGTATGATATGCCTTCACATCCTGACCAAAGGAGCTACAGTAGCTGGTAGAACCCCACAACTTCTTGAAGAAGTATGTTCTGTGAAAGCTGAGAGATTGTGGGAGAGGTACAGAGTGAGAAACCCTCACTTTTGGAATCAATCTGCACGTGGAAAGCCTGAGGAAATCATGTTGTATGAGCCATGAAGGCAGCTCATATCATCGTTCACAGGACAGTTTTTCAGTTTAAGTCACAGTAGCAGGCTGTAACACTGGAGGAGTGATTAGAATGTTCTGAAAATCCTGACCAGATTTTTAAGACTCTGAAGGTTGATTCCAAGAACTATGCTTAGTTTCCAGGAATGACATGGAATAATGGACCTCTGAATTCAGAATCTCGTTGGCTTCAGTGATACCCTCAGGTAGCCTCTGAAGAGAGAGTGTCAGAATAGTGGTTCTCCAGACTCTTGCCTGGATTTTCCAATTGCATCCATGGCTTTTGTAATGAAAACCTTAAGTCTGCATATGTAATTCAGAGTTCTGAGCGGGGGCCAGTGCTCCAGGTGACAGGACTGTGGAATGGAAGTCACAAGAATCCTGTTTTATTTTGTTGGATAGCTTGGTTGTTCAGCCATTTAGATGTTGTCAGCACTACCAAATGATGTAGGAGGACAAATTATGTCAAAGTGAATTTAACTTCCGTGAAATTTTTCTTGAGACTTGCAGGTTGTCTGCCTGCCTTGAAAATACCTGTTTACTAATTATATGCCACTCCTCCCCACTTTTAAAACCAGCTCAGTATCTCTCAGTGTGACCAGAAAACACTAGATCTTGGAATATAGTTAGATGTTTCTAGAGAAAAAACTAATCTGTATCCTAATAAGTTTAGGAAGTACCAGGGTAAATAAAATGAATCAGATTTCTTTTCTCAAGACTTCTCAGTGCCTTTGAAATGTTTGACCACTGAACCCCTTTTTCTCTGGATACCTCCTAGAGCCAGTTTCCATAGAATACATTTTGGGAAACCCCGGTAGAAAGAAATATCTTATTATTTCTAAGTACTTCGACTGAGCACTGCTCTTCCTTCTTGAAAAGCTGCTCAGATAGCTAGCCCTGTTTTCTTTCTCTAAAAAAAAATAAATATATAAGAAAACCCATATTCTCTGCAAATTTGGAAGATATTGTTTATATATATATATGCTGTTCCTTCCTCTAAATTTACCCCTCTTTAGCTAAGATGAAATCTAGCAATAGATGTGGAAATGCACATAGAACTGTACATTTTTTTGTCTAGCACACGTGTCAGTGGTCAAATTGTGTTACAACAGAGGTATGCAAATTCCTCATGCTTTTGCCCTGACCACTATTACCACATTTCCTTTCCATGTCATGGCTGTCCTTCTTTCTTTTCAATTACAATATTTGCATTCTCCAACCTGTTCTCAGACCTGTTTGGATAATATTTTCTGCAAATAAAAGAATGTATCCTTTGTTCGATAACTTCACACACAAAATGGCTTTCAACCAGTTGAAAAAAGCTGAATAGGTAGGGATTTGATGTATAAGAATTGTGGTGCAGGGTAAGAAGATGGAAATTTGTAGGCTTCAAATTGGGTATTCTTATTTTAACTGTAATTTAATTTGAGATTTATGAGTCTACCTTTCACCCAGGGGATTCCTAACTACTTTATGATTTTTGAATATTTTAATTCCCCACTGTTGGGATGTAACTGGAAAATGTATCCCAGCAGCCTGCCAGGCACTAAGTATACCCACACCTTGGCTCAAGACTCTCAGGGGCTGGGCACTAGCTCTGAGGCTCCAGCTTTTTCACCACGTCAAAGGAGGCCCAGCTTGAGCTGCCCCAATGCAGCTTAGTCAGAAGTCTCAGTACATTTAGTTGCTACAATTTCAGTTGTCTTGGTTGTTCAAAAGCACTTCCTCTGCTTTCCTTTTTCTTAAAATGGATGGAAATCCTAGGTATTATTTTTAACATGTGTTTTTAGACCTTCTTGAATATTAATTAGGTAAACCTAATTCAAGATGTATTATTCAAGAATATAGCCTTAACTTTATGGTTTTTAAAATGAGCTATGAGTGGATTGTTACTAAAATGTCCATTTAGACACACTTGTTCTTGTGAGTCAAGGACTTCTCAGTATGTTGAAGGCTGTATCCTTTAGTTTCACAAGTCTCTCCTCATTAATGATGATTATCAATCTCTTTAATTACCAAAATGATCAGATATCTAAAAATCTAGGGAATATAGTATTTAGGACTATTTCCTTACCCACTCCTTCTCTGCTTCCCCAACAAAAAGACTTATTTTTGAAAAGGTTATTATTTTCTTGACTCTTAAAAATACAACAAGTTCCAAACCTCATGCCCTATGTAATTGGTCTTGTGGCATCTTTGAACAATGATGCCATGTGTGTCTACAGAATGGTTCTATTGAAAGTTATTCTTTGAATCATAATGTGGCATAGTGTGTGTACTTAAAGCATCTTTTAGTGATCACTTTTATCAGCCAGCTACTCCACAAGTATTCCTTAATAAGCATATGGCTTAGGGGCACAGGGAATAAGCTAGCTAGTAGGGAACATCCCAAAATATGACATAAATAAAGAGCCTTCTAGTTTATCTCATGAGAGAGAATATAAGCAAAGTCAGACTATATAGCACTCTGTGGATAACAACTAGTTTCTGAATGGAAACATGACATTCACATTGACTCTACAATCAGTTTCCTTTTTCATGGGCTGTGTCTTAGTTTGCATTCAAAATATGTTGACTTTAAACCCATCCGTTATATTAGAGATACATAAAAATGATTTGTCTGTAGACATACATATTTTGCTCTAGGAAACTTCCTTGGCAAAGCTTCTAGTGAGCTTCTAGTGGCTGCTGGCATTACTTAATGGTAGGTAATTCATTGCCTTGTGATAGAAAGAGGTTTTTTTTTTTTCATTAAAAAATTTCTGATGTAGGAAAGGATTATAATAATGAGTGTTATGATCAACACCTATAGAAATATATCACTTTTTAAATCTCTTAAAGCTAATTACTTAGAGAAGTTTCAAATACATTTATATAGTTTATTTAAATATCCGAATGCACTAAAATGATGTGTAGTTTTTAATCTAAAACGGGCCTTTTAGAAAACCATCACACAAATACATACATACATACACACACAACACACCCCATATGTACTTGTTCTAACAGAGGTAATTTCTTCTGGAACTTGGTAGAATTCTGGAATTTGTAAGTGGAGAAATAGAGTGCTACAAGAAGAGCGTTAACTGGGGTTTTTGTTCCAGTTCTGCTAGTACTTATCTGTATTTCCTTGAGCAAGTTACTTAAACCGCTCTAAGCCTGTGTTCTCACTGGTCAAAGGGGGATAATAATACCTATTTTATAGGGTTGTGAGGATTTAATCAGGTTGCTTGTGTGCTAGTATATGGTGAGTTAGGCATTAATCTTTATTCACCTTATCAACTAGATTTTCCTGTTCTTTTGGGAAGGAAGGAGCTAATGTTCATAAAACATTGTTCATAAAACCTTTCTTCTTTTGCATTTCTCCTTTTGAAGACTGTAAAGGAGAATCACGAGCAGAACTAGAACTGCACTTTTCTTTTTCTTCTTTTTCTTTTCTTTTTTTTTTTTGGCTGAACCACACGGCTCGCGGGATCTTATTTCCCTGACCAGGGATTGAACCCCAGGCCCAGCAGTGACAGCACCAAGTCCTAACCACTGGACCGCCAGGAATTCCCAGAACTGCACATTTCTTAAGATTCACCTGTTAAAATCCTTTTCTGTTCCTTAGAAGAAGAAAAAGTTGATTGTAGCGTCATCACTCGTCAATCTTTCTCCCTCTCATCATCACTTATTTAATAGAAAGGAATGTGCTTGATGTGGTCAGTAAACAATGAATACACCAGTCTCACTGGTAGTGAGTATTCATGTAAAGGACTGGCTCTGGGTAATGGAGAGCCTCAAACAATAGGCAGGGGAATTTGGGCTTTATCTTGTGTGCAGTCTAAGGCCCAAGAAGAGGTAGAAGGCTCTGGGACCAAAAGTGCAAACTAGAGGTGCTGGTGTGGGAGACAGGCCAGTTAGCCTCCTCATCATCTGGGTCAGGATGGTACAGAATAAGCAGGGTGAGGGAAGAGGGGATACTGCAGTGAGGAGGGGGCTGGAGCTGTGGAGCCCGTCTCAGGTGCAACGGGAAAGGGAATTGACGGAGTTTACACAGGATGCTGTCAGGGAGGAAAGACTTCCCTCTACCCACCCAGGTCTGATTCCTGGGTCTGTGAAATAAACTGATAATAGGCAGATTAACAGCAGAAAAGATATACAGATTTATTAAGTTTTAATATGATATGCACAAGGGCATCACAGGGAATAAAAAGTGAATACCCAAAAAAGTGAGATTTGAGAGCTTATATACCATATTAAAAGAAACAGGGGATACAGCCACTATGGAGAACAGTATGGAGGTTCCTTAAAAATACTAAAAATAGAACTAACATATGACCCAGCAATCCCACTACTGGGCATATACCCTGAGAAAACCATAATTCAAAAGGACACATGTACCCCAATGTTGATTGCAGCACTATTTACAATAGCCAGGATGTGGAAACAACCTAAATGTCCAACGATACATGAATGGATAAAGAAGATGTGGTACATATATACAATGGAATATTACTCAACCATAAAAAGGAACGAAATTGGGTCATTTGTAGAGATGTGGATGGACCTAGAGTCTGTCATACAGAGTGAAGTAAGCCAGAAAGAGAGAAACAAGTATCGTATATTAATGCATATATGTGGAATCTAGAAAAATGGTACATATGAACCTATTTGTAGGGCAGGAATAGAGACGTAGACATAGAGAATGGACATGTGGACACGAGGAAGAAGAGGGTGGGACGAATTGGGGGATTAGGTTTGACGTAAATACGCAGGAACCTGCTGTATAGCACAGGGAGCTCAGCTTGGTGCTCTGTGACGATCTAGATGGGTGGGATGGGGAGGGAGGGAGGTCCAAGAGAGAGGGGATATAGGTACACATATAGCTGATTCACTTCATTGTACAGCAGAAACTAGTACAACATTGTAAAGCAAATTTACTCCAATTTAAAAACAAGATGAATTAGAGCTTCCACATAGTTTATAGCAGAAATAAAAGTTTCAAATTAAAGAAAAAAAAAAAAAGAAGCAGGGGAGGGAGGGCATAGGCCACTTAGGGGAGAGTAAATGATTTTTAAGAAAGACCAGTGGGCCCTTAGAACAGATGGGAGACATGATGGTGTGTGATAAAGTTTGTCTGGGTGTGATGTTGACTTCTAGTCTCCTCCCCTCTGATGAGATTCAGTCCTCCCTGTTTGATGAAACTCCCCAGGAGCACATTTAGGACAAGTGGGTTCTTTTTGGAGGATCTGTCATGGGCAGATAAGGGGAGTTTAGAGAAAGCCTCTCCCTGCAGTGCTGTTTTTAAGTGCCTACAGCTCAAAATAATTGATATACCCAAGTGGCACATTTTGCAGTTGCATATCCTGAACTCCTTCACTGCCTTCTTTCTAAACTTGAAAATGAAGTATCATTGAGATGAAAGTGGAATTGCAACTTGAGAAGCAAGGAACGTGTTTGAAGCCGGAAAATATGACGGCAGCAGGTCAAAGAGGGACAGAAGAGGGCTGCCAAGCAGCAGTGAGGTTCGATTTAAGTAACTTGATCCTCGCCCATCACATCAACATTAAAGAAATAGACCCAATGTTAAGATCACATATTTTGGCCCACCTACACAGATTAGAAAGATAAAAGAAGATCTTCGACAACAGAAACAAAAAAGTATTTTTTTATGTTTGGAGGCAGCATGGTCACCTTGGGAAATTACATAATTTTTCAAGCAGCTCCAAGGAACTGAACATGAATTTGTAGTAGCCTCAGCCAGTAAGATTTTGTACCTTTGTTTAGCATCTCTCAGTTAGCATCACTCTCTAACGGGATCAGGAGATCAGGAGAGGCGGGATCAGGAGAGGTGACTGAGTATGTGGCAGGAGTGAGAGATTCTAGGTGACAGAAAGGTCATAGAGAAGTGTCTGATTCTCAAAGTACAGTGTAGATAGGCAGACAGATGTTGTCAGCATGGGGTGGCAGAGAGGGATGAATAGTTTCTGAGGGTGACTGTCAGTTTCTTGCCGTCTCTGCAGGACCAGGTTAGGGGTGAAGTAAACACTAATAGATAATGAGGGGAAACTCTCATGGAAGAACTTGTCAGAGGAGGAATTAGAATTGCATGTTTTTTCCATGGCCAAGGTGGAGTTGAGAAGAATATCTGTGGCCAGATGAAGGGGTGTGAAATCAAGATGGGCCATCAATGTGGATACTGGGGATAACGAGAGAAGATAAAGGTAGAAAGGATAACTTGTGGTCCTGGGGTCACTGGGGTATTTAGGTGTGTATTAGCGTTCAGTAATAGATAATGACAATCATGTTCCCCTCTCTCTGGCTGATCTTCCTTCCCAAGTAAAAGATATGTTCATGCTGTGACCCTTGAATGACTTTGTACAAATTGGAAATGTGATATAGAGGGCAAGATCTTATCCCAGGAGAGATGACTTTTTATTAGAATTTCCATTGAATTGCTTCTCAGGAGGCATGGGGGCCTCCAAGACCAGTGAGTATCAAATCCAGGCTTTTAACTATTTTGAACTCTCAGGGGAATTATTTTCCTCAAGAATAAAATGCCATGCCAATATGAGCATTATTAAAAATCATTTTATGGAAAATATTCCCTGCACTAAAAGGAACCAAACCCATAGTTCATTGTATTGTGTTTGGTTAACAGTGTAACAGCAATTTATTTTTTAGGGTTTTCAGTATGAACTTTTATGACCTACCAATCAAGTGTATTATAAATGAGCATTTAGCTTTTTTAATGAAGAATTAAATGGCAATTTAAAACTTTAATTGATTGTATTATTTTGTTAGGTTTTTATGAACATTGATTTTAACATAGTTTTTTCTTCCTTGGATTTCATCCTAAGCAACTATAAGAGATTTTACTAGAACAGGATGGAGGGAATTTTTAGAAATATTTATTTGCAAAGATTTTTCATTGCTCTGGATATATAAGTGATGTGGGGACCTCTGGTGGCTTAGTTTATTTTTCCATCTTAAAGAATGACTGGATACTAAGCGAAAAGATAGACTTAGAAGTCCAGTTGGAAAGGACCTTAGACGGCATCTACTCAAACTTTTCCTTTGACAAGAGAGGGAATTGAGGCCTATAAAGGCTAAATGACTTTTCCAGGATCGCACAGCAGAGCCAAGGCATCAATCCAGGCCTAGTGCTGTCTCCGCAGCATGCCACTGTCCTCTTGGAGAGGATGTTAATAAAATAAATGTGAGAAGTAAAATAACAAATAGCACATTATCCTATGATTTCTGTCCATTTTATCCTAAAAATGCCATTTGGGTCCATGCTGGCCTGTAAACCCTCCCTCCCTCCCTCTATTCATGGTCTTACCATCACTCACAGAGTGATTGTGGTTGCCTCCAGGGGTTCTCCCTGCTCCGAGCCTCTTCCTCTTTGGTTATCCACTCCCTGCCACCAAAGTTACTGCTCAAAAACTTTGACCGGGTCATTTCACTCCCTTGCTTAAACTTCATCTCTGAGTCGCTATTGCCCGTAGGCTTCTTAAACATGGTTAACAAGCTTGAAAACAGGTCCATGTGAGTCTGAAAGTGGTGTTATTTATACAGATACTTACTTTTCTTTCAAATTGTGACCCTGCCATTTGTGTGTGGCTTAGCTATATCGTTTAACCTCTTGGAGCCACATTCTTTACCTATCAAAGGGAAATGGTAGAACTTGCCTCAAGAAATTGTTGCAAGATTTCAGCACATAAAACCCCTTATATAAAGTACCCAGTACACAGTAGCTTCTTGAAGGATGGTAGCCCTTATTGGTGGACTTAGCTCACTGTATCGTACATTTATTCCCCACTGCATGAAGAACTCCTTGAGGGCAGAACTTCCTTGTCATGTTTTCAAAGCTTAGTGTGGTGCCTGGCATATAACAGTGTGCTTAAGCAGGATTTGTTGAATGGAAATGAGCCATGAAATCTTGAGCAAGTCATTTAATCTTTGTGATCCCCAATTCCTTATGACTAGAATTGGGAGGATTAGTAAAATGAAATAATGCATATAAAACACCTAGCGTGGTGCCTGGTTCAGTTAATAAACAGTAGGAATTGGCAAGATCATGTTTATCCTCAGAAAGTCAAGATCAAGCATTAGCTCTTCTATAAAACCTCTTTGGTTGCTTTTCCCAGCCCCCGACCAAATTAATCGTTTCCTATCCCTTGTGCTCGTACTCCGGGAAGGATGGTTTAGTGGGAAAAACAAGGGTTTTAAAGTCTGACAGGCCTTGAGCTGAATCCTAGTCATGTGACCCATATAACTTTAAGTAAGTTAATTAAGCTTTTAAGCCCTATCATTAGGGGTAATGATAGTGTGTGTTGTGTCAGTCTATCCTGTTAAAATATGGATCTTCTTTAGAGTGGGAATTAGGGTCCTGTTCATCTTGCCTGGTATATAGTAGGTGCTCAAAAAATGTACAATGACTTAAATATAGCACTGAAAGCTTGTTAATGTTAGGAAACTATAATTAAAAACAAGAATAGTACAAATGAGGTATCACAGATTATCAAGTGGAGAAAAAAGAGTAAAATTTAAAATGATAAAGCAAAACATGGTAGAAAGCCAATATAAGGGTTCAAAAACAAGCAGAAGAAATGATCAAACATAAAGCTTGATCAAGTGATAAAAATATGGCTGATATAGGAATGGATAGAGAAGATAAACTACAAAAAACAAAGTACTATCACTAATAACATTTTCACACAGAGGGTAGGTGGGAGAAAATGCAGCTTTGAGAGTAAGATCTGAGTAGTTTCAGCTTTACAACTTCCAGAATTCCAGACATTGGTTCATTTCATCCTCACCACAACCCGGGACATAGGTGGCCATAGCCCTCCTTTCAGAGTTGAGGAGACAGTTCAGGAAAGTTAAAGGTCGTACTCGTTAACACACAGAAAGACCCAGAGCTTGGATTCAGATCTCTTGAGTCCAAGCACAGTGCTCTTTACATTCTATCTTATAACCCGTGTGCTAGAAAGGCAGGGGATTTCATATAATGACAGCTTATAAATTAATTTAGCATTTAAAGTCTTAGGCCTCACAATTGTAATGGAAAGGTATATTTATTTGCCTTTCAGTTTATGCCTGTTCAGATACCAAATGATGAAGAAAAAAGTGATCCTGTCCTTTTTGCCAGTACAGTCCGGAATTTAATGGCAGAGTAAGTATCTATATGTGATTATGATCAGTAAATAGTTTTAAAATTATTGGTAAATGGCATTTAACATTGTTTTTGTTTTTTGTTTTTTGTCTTTGTTTTTTTCTGTCTGAGGGCCTCATTCCCCAACTCATTTTGGTAAGGAAAAATCATGTGCCTAGGAATGCGGTCAGTAAGACAATCTATAAATATTTTCTCTGACGTAACCCCAAACTAATGGAGACGTAGCTTTGCCAGAAGGTGAACAGGGAGGGTACATGAACCAGGAGAAACCAGCCAGTGACCTCCAAAGAGTGAATTCTCCCAAGCTGGCCAGTCGCTGTCAGACAAAGCTAATGATGGTCTGAGTGGTTCCTGCTGTGACCCACCTTCTATCCCCTCAACCTCCATATAGCTGCCAAGGCCACGTATTTCAAAGGCATTAATGATTATAGCACCAAAAAGGGAAAAGTTTGCAAGGGAATGCAATAGATGCATAGAAAAGGGGGAAAGTCACCCTCATTAAGGAGATGGCTATAAATTTAGGATTTAGAAACTGCAAAACATAAGGCAAGTATTTTCTTGCACTTAAGGGAGTTTTAACTGGCCACTATCCTGATTAGATAAATCACCTCTCCTCCTGTAATGAAAGAGTGATAGTTATACTATCCCCACCACCCAGGCAGCCTCAGAGCCCTCCAGGTGTGCACCCTCTCCCCAAGCACCACCTCCCTCAGTCATGCCCAACGGTAGGTTTGGAGCTAATAAGCCAGCAGTATTTATTCTCTTAGAAAAAATGCAATGAGAACTCTGAATTTAGCTTCATAGCTGAATTTGGCATTATAAGCAAGATTATATATGTTATATATATATTACATATATTAATATTTCACAGGAGACTAACTTTATTTTCAAAAAAGAATAAATGTTAAAGTGTTTGGCTGAAAACCTTTTGTTACTACGTGTCCCTACATGTACTTGATTTACCTAGTTTCTAGAGCAGCTACAAAATTTGCTTTGATATTGTTTTCTTCCCTCTTCCATTATGTTTTCATACTAGCTTATGTCCAAAACTTAGGAAGGAAGATAAGTATTAGGAACTGAGAGAATTTACATCAGATATTTTGACTTCCCAAAATCTGCCTAAAAACAGGAAAGGTTTGTTTAAGCAGCCTTTTCCTGGATTTGGAGGCGTGGAGGTAGAAGGGCCTTGGATAAAGAGTAAGAAAGACCTCAGTTAGCTGTACAACCTTGGATAAGTCCCCTCCAAGGCTCCTTTCCTCATGTGTAAAGTGGGAATTCTAATCCTTGCCTGGCTTTTCTCATAGTTTTGGTTATTATGAGAGTCAAGTAGGAAATGTTAAAAGCATTTGAAAATGGTAAAGAGCAAAGCCGAGGTAAGTAGTGGTGGTCGACCACTAATAAATATTTACCAAATCCTGTGCTAGGCCATTTGCTTGTGTTACCTAACATAATCTTCACAGCAGCTCTGAGGCAAGTGAGAAAATGGAGGCTCTGAGGTAGTGAGAGTTTCTGGGCTGGGATTCAAATCCACACTTCCTATTACCAAAGCCCAAGCTCTTAACTGTTTTGTTCTACTATTTACTCATAATTCCTGAAGTGTTTTTAATTTTTATTTTCCTTATATATTCTTACACCCAAATAGTCATTAATCAAAAACAGCTTAGTGGCAGGTAGGAAAAAAATGTTTATTCATATTGCATTCATTGAAAATTGAATGTTCTTAGCCATGATTCAACAAAATCAAATAACAGTTGATGACATAATTTTATGATTGTCACTGAATGTGTGTGAATAAAAATTTAGCCAAGAGGGATCTGCAGGAAATTATTTTATGTACAGCACAGATTTTCTTCTTGTCACTCAAGTGTTATTTCAAGTTCTTGTTAATATGTATTTTTTCCAAATCTGTTTCACTATAAGTAGATCTCTGAGCAGGAGGGAGGTAGTCAGTATTGTGCACTCCTTTGAGGATGGAGGGTGTTTAGGTTTGGAAGAAATGATCTTATAATCAGTCCTCATTAGTATTTTTTGAAGATTGCTATGTAGCAAGAAGGTGATCTTCAGTCTTAAAAGATGGAAAGACGCAGATAGCTAGCAATATGGATAGACCGTTCACTTATAATATGTACAGGTACCATTTATCTGTTTAAATGGCACTTCCACAGGCATTCTTAGCTGGTCCTTAAAATAACCCTGTGGAGGAAGTGATTATTCCCATGTGCAGATGAGAAAAGTGAGGCTTAGGTTAAGTGCCAGCTGGTAAAAGACTCCATAGGACTTGAACGTAAGTCTTCTCATTACTTTCCAGGGACTGAACTCAACTATTATTGTCGCTGTAATCAAAACACAGAACAAAAATGACTAGCTGGCAGAAGCACACAGACATAAGGAGATTAACTCGGGCCACAATAAGTCTGTGAAGTAGAGAAATATGTCTCTTTGGCAATAATAAGCCAAAGCCACTGGTTCAAAAAGTAGTAAATACTTTTCCATTTACTGTCGTTTGTTGACCAATTCAGGCCTAATGAAAAACCATCACCTTTTTTAAAAAGTTGAATCTGTTTGTTTTTTAATACTTTAGAGCTCTGAGAATTCCAGTAACAGATCACACCTATGAAGACTGCAGATTGATGATTTCAGCAGGACAGCTAACACTGCCTATGGAAGCTGGGTTGGTGGAATTTACCAAAATCAGCCGGAAATTGAAGTAAGCATATTTTAAAATTACCACACTTTCCTAAAGATGTCCAAAAGAGATCTGAAATCCTGTTATGTTTATTTTCTCTGGTTTCATTAATGCTCAAACTCTAGAACCTACGTGGTGTTTATTAAGAAAGCCAGGGATGTGAATTTATCTCCCATTTAGTTCATCTAGTTTTGTTTTTTCAAGAACAGCTAACTCAGAAATATGTGCGTTGGTCACGAGAGGAGAATGAGATAGTAAACACGAGTCAGCACAGATCTGCCTCCCTACCCAGAAACAGCTGAGTAGTTGGTCCTGCCACCTTCTTATAAGAAAGATGGCATAATTATATGGTACTGGCACGAGGTGGTCAGAACTCCTCATGTGAAATAGGAATTGACTTGCAGAGCAGCAATTCTGACCATCATTGAATTTTAAATACTTCCCTAGATCAATCTTCTCATTCTGGATACATAATTTTTTTGAAAAGGCAAAAAAAAAATTGTGATTTTAATGATCTGGTTTAAACCATTTAGAACATTCCCTTTGAACTTCCTGGTATGAAGGTGTAACTCCCACATCCCTCTCTGATTACAGTTCATTGTTTTCAGCCCGGACAGGGATCTGCAGAATTTATTAACTCAGTAGACCTTGGCATCCTCCCTAGGAGGGAGCTGCAGAACCAGTTACTGTATTAAAGTTCAATATTAAAAAATATTTTTTGATAGCTGATGTAGCAAACATTATTTATATCCTCTAGATAGCAATGTTTTGATGTTATATTTTTACAATATTCCAATAGATTTGAAAAAATTAGATAGTTACTGAAATTGGATGTAGAAGTATATGTTAAGTCACCTGTTTAATTCTACAGGATATGATGTAAGCTACAGTATATTTTCCAGTGTTTTTTAAAGTGTTTTATAACTAATATTGGAGGAAGTGTACAAAGTCTAATGAATCCATCACAACATTTTGTGAAATGTGAGTTCATTATCATCCGGAAAGCTTGAAAGCAAGAATTGTATTTTTTTTTAACAACTCAGTAAGTACTGTTGACTTACTAAGTAATATTTAGATTAAAATGTGAGTTCTTTTTTTCTTCTCATGAGTCATTTATTATCTTACCACATTGCTCCTTTTCCCAGTTACTTTTCTTTCCCTCAGATATTTGGGATAATTATAGTTATGTTAATATCCTTTAAAAAATTAGAAGTCTGTATCCATGTTCAAAGTGTGCCTTAAAATATTCATTTTTGGGGCTTCCCTAGTGGCGCACTGGTTGAGAGTCCGCCTGCAGTTGCAGGGGACACGGGTTCGTGCCCCGGTCCGGTAAGATTCCACATGCCGCGGAGCGGCTGGGCCCGTGAGCCATGGCTGCTGAGCCTGCGCATCCAGAGCCTGTGCCCCGCAACGGGAGAGGCCACAACAGTGAGAGGCCCGCGTACCGCAAAAAAGAATTTTTAAAAATTCGTTTTCTTCTCCTTTTCAAATGTAACACTGAATATATTTTTCCCTCAGACAGATGAATAAAACAAAACTCACAAAATGTCCATGTGGATTGTAAAACGCTAATACATCTTCATAACTCTTTGTTTAGATTAGATTGGGATGGGATTTGTAAGCATTTGGATGAATATGCCGCTATTGCAAGTTCCTCTAAAGGAGGAAGAATCGGAATTGAAGAATTTGCGGAGTATTTGAAGCTGCCTGTTTCAGATGTCTTGAGACAACTTTTTGCGCTCTTTGACAGGGTAGGTTAAAGTTTAACCTTTAACACGCAAATATTTTTATTTCGCGAGTCCCCACAGGGTATAAATCAGTATGGCAGGCATTAGAAAAACTTGCTAGGTCAGTGTTAGAAGAAGCAAGGCTGAGCCCATTGTTTAATTGCATGATTTTGTTTTTCAGCTTAATAGTAGTAGAGCAGTAGTAGTAGTAGTAGTAATAATAATAGTAATATAATAATAATTGTGTGTGTGTGTGTGGCAACAGTTATGATAGTGTCCATTTATTTTAAACACCAGGTCAGAAATAAATATTGTGACCCATATTTGTGTATGGAATTGGAAAGGTTTACATAACTAGCAAGAATTTTAATATTTATGTCAAAATCATACATTGATGACATGGGTGGTACTATTCTATCCTGAAGGTTTCTGGACTTCCCCCAAAACATCCGAAGACCAAATAGATTTTAGTTTATTTATAACAAAGTTTTCAATTAAAGCCTTGACTGTTAGTCCTTATATTGGGGATTCAGTTTTCTGCTTACGAATATGTACGTACATGGAGTTAGATAATTGAAATGTCAAAGTTTCCTTAGGAAAAGTGCATCAAGATTTCAAGTTCTCTCTTTTTAATTTGTTTTTTAATATATAAAGTTGACAGTAAAGTTTACTTTTTTGGTTACAGTTTTGTGAGTTCTAACAAATGCATAGAGGCATGTAACTACCACCACATTCAAGAAATACAATTGCAAAAAAAAAAATTCCCTGTAGCTAGGCTTTTATAGTCAAGCCCCTCCCTCACCTTTAACCACTGGCAATCACTCCATCCCTATAGGTTTGCCTTTTCCAGATACCATACAAATGGAATCATTTAGTATATCCTTTTGAGTCCAGCTTCTTTCACTCAGCATAACGCACCTGAGATTCAGCCACGTTATTGCATGTATCTGTAATTTGTCTCCTTTTATTGCTGAATGGTATTCCATTGTGTGGATGTACCATACTTGGTGTATCCATTCCCCAATTGAGGAACATTTGGTTTGTTTCCACCTTGGGACAATTATGAATATAACTGTTCTAAGCGTTCATGTATAGGTTTTTGAGTGAATATAGGTTTTCCTTTTACTTGGGTAAATACTTAGGGTTGGGTAAATACTTAGGATTGTTATCTTTTTTATTTCACATTCATTCCTGAGGGATATTTTTGTTGTACATATATGGAATTCTGTATACAGTTCTTCCCTTTCAACAATTTAATAATTTCATCCTGCTGCCTTCAGGCCTATGTGGTTGTTTTTCAAGTTCCTCCTGCCATGGTATTTTATCCAGAGGTAGTGCTTTTTGTATTTCGATCAGAGTTTCTAATTGTAGTGAGAAGGAGAGATAGGCTGAACTAAGCTCATTCCATCCTGGCTGGCACCAGAAGTCCCAGGTCTCTATCAACCACTGGAAAAAGATATTTTGCAAAGAAATTATAGCCTGCTGACAGAAACCAGGACAGAGCTTTTCTTTTTCTTCTTACCCAGAGGTCACTAACATTCCTAATGACTTATTCTGTGACTTATTCTCTTAGATGAACTTTTTTTTTTTTAATTTATTTTCATTTTGGCTGCGTTGGGTCTTCGCTGCTGGGCCCGGGCTTTCTCTAGTTGCGACGAGCGGGGGCTACTCTTCGTTGCGGTGCGCAGGCTTCTCATTGTGGTGGCTTCTCTTTGTTGTGGAGCACGGGCTCTAGGTGTGCGGGCTTCAGTAGTTGTGGCACGTGGGCTCTGTAGTTGTGGCTCGCGGGCTTAGTTGCTCCGCGGCATGTGGGATCTTCCCGGACCAGGGCTCGAACCTGTGTCCCCTGCGTTGGCAGGTGGATTCTTAACCACTGCGCCACCAGGGAAGTCCCTTAGATGAACTATTCTTTAACATGATACAGGTAAGCAACCTTCTTCCGTATGGAGTGCACAAGCCTCTCTTCTGTGCTTGTTGCAGCATACAAATATTTTTTCCTTGTCCGTGAAATGGTAATGTGTCACTGCAATGGTGCTACTTTAAAGTGTAATGAAGATTTAGGGAAAAGGAGATGTAAATTATGGTATGTAACAGTGCAAGTTGGGAAAATACAGGCACTTTTCACTTGTACTGTTACTAGTATTTCTGTGAGATTTGTATAGCATTTTCAGTATGGCTCTGGAAACCATGCAAGCAATTTTAAATAAAGTTTCTATAAATATGAACTTGGTGACAGAAAGGAATATGGCAGGGACATACAAATAAGAACAGGAGATGGGGAAATGGGAAGTGACATGAAACAGGGACCAAGAGGGAAGTTCAAAGCACATCATAGACTTTATGCTCATCAGGATTTTTAATCAAGATTAAAAATAGTCTCCATAGAGGGCTTGCCTGGTGGCGCAGTGGTTGAGAGTCCGCCTGCCGATGCAGGCGACGCGGGTTCGTGCCCCTGTCCGGGAGGATCCCACATGCCGTGGAGCGGCTGGGCCCGTGAGCCATGGCTGCTGAGCCTGCACGTCCGGAGCCTGTGCTCCGCAACAGGAGAGGCCACAGCAGTGAGAGGCCAGCGTACCGCAAAAAAAAAAAAAAAAAGTCTCCACAGAAGTTGCCCTGTCTTTCAGGTGTCAAACTGTCATAACAGCAATAACAGGATTGCTTTGACACCAGTTCTGTCTTTTGATGACTGATGATACCTGCCAGTGGCCCCACTGTTTCTATAGCACTGGGATATGTGGTAAGATTTGGGAGTGGGGAAGGGAGTGTAAACCAAGGATTACAATAAGCCTGAGTTAGCCAGATTGACTCACTCTGAACGAAAGAATACAATTAGCTCCAAGCAGTTTGGAGACTGGTGAGCCTTTGTGGCCAGTGTGGTCAATCACACTTCTGCATGGACTGCTTCAATCGGCTCACGTATCAATTGTAACTGTTAAGTTTTCTTCACTTCTTTGTATAGTGTATAGACTTAGCTTTAGATATAGACCACGAGTTGGTCTTTAAAACGCTTTTGATCTCCAACATACTGGAAGGTAGAGAAAATAATCTGGAGAATTAACAACTAATGCATTTGACCTTTCTTTACCTCTTCCTTTTCTCTTCTCTTTGTCTCTCTGTCTTTCTCGCTTTCCTTTTTTTTTGTTGTTTTTAACATACCTGCATGTCTGTGCCTGTGAAGATTTGCTTTGTTTTGAGAAGCTGAATTATGTAATCGTTGCCACACCCTGTGCACATCCCCACTTCCATGCTCTCTTGGAGGGATTTAGCTGGGAAATGTTCCACGGAAAATACAAAGAAGTTCAGTAACGTCATAGTTTATTTCTCTCTGAGTAGCTTATCTTGCTAAACTCAATACTTATGAGGGGTGGGGGAGGAAGAAGGGTGGGAAAGAGAGGGTGGGATGTTCCTCTTGCTCTTTCATTTCAGTAGCTATAAATTTTTGCAGGGCAGAGGGCTCCTCCCATGTGCCTTTCCCACTTTATTCTCCTTTTCCCCTTCCTTCTTTTCTTCTCTCAATCTCTCCCCAAGTCTGGTGCAATTGTGGTTGGTATTTTGGGGAAGGGGAGAGATCTGTATATCTCTCCATGTTCCCTTACTCCTTCTTCCCACATACATTCCTGGCAAGTCTGCAAAAACTTCATAATGATTTTCGTCTCAGTCTGTCCTAAAAGAAAAAAAGTGCTGTCTATTCAGTTTCTTCTGACAATCTGATGTGTTCTTTTAGATTGTCAGATATGCGATGGCAGATGATTTCAAGGTCCAACAGAAATGTGGCATTCATGATCCAAAGCATAGCATGGCTCATTGGATTAGGATAGTTTTTTGTGGAGAGGTCTCATCTCTGAAAAAAAGGAAAAGAAGACCCTTTTCATCTTTAGGTTTCATTCAGCTTCTTTATTTTCCCAAATGTACACTGAACTCTCTGAATCAGAGGCTGATAGGGATTAGTCAAAAGTCCACATGAGTTAGAGACAGTTGAGAGCTGAGACAGTAGTTTAAAACAGTGGCTTCTCAACATTTTTTATATTCATAATTCAGTTTTCAAGACTAGATTTTTTTTGCCAACACTCTTGAAGGCATTTAAATACACTTAATGGGACTGAGACACAACACTGGCTAAGTCAGAAATAATTATAACACAGTCATTTGTACAGTTATAAGAATATCTACACAGCATCACCTTATTTCATTCATTCTTCAACGCTGTGTTATTGAGCAGAGCCATGTGCTGCCCTGCCAGCAGTATCTTACATACCTATGAGACAAAGTCCTCAAATATTGCAGCACACATATCATCTTTGCTGCTAGTTTGACAGTATACCATGTTATCTGCCTCTTACCTCTTACTAGTGGCAAGTCATCTCATCTGCACTGCATCTCATGATACATTCAGGGTCATGTTCCATCTGGCACACATCACCATAACGGTATGTATATTCGCTGGTGGCGAAGCTATATTTCAGGGATCAGCAGGCTTTTCTCAGCAAAGAGCCAGATTGTAAATGTTTTTGACTTTGTGGGACATTTGGTCCTAAACTTTCAGTATAATTTGTACAACTGAATAGAAAAGTTAAGCCACCCCACTCAGAAAGATTAACCTGTTTATTTTCAGTCACTTAAGCCACATAAATGCCCTGTCCTAACTCTCAGCTTGAAAATCTGCATAATACAGCACCCTACCTTCTCTAACAGGGAAGGGCAAGCAAGGATGCTTGTTATTATATGCTCACTATTTGCTCATGATTTAACACTTGAACTAACGCCAAGAACGGGGCAGACAGGAAGAACTCGGATAAAGAAACACATTCATTCCACACAATGCAAAAGAGTAATAAAAGATCTCCAGAATAGCCAAAAATGCTGGATTGTCCAAGTGCTAAAGTATACACACACTTTCCTGTTCTAATATTTAAACAAAGGACATAGTAATGCCAGAAGAACTAAGTACCAGTTAGAAGGCCGAAATGGGAAAAATCAGGACAGTTTTCACATTTTTTAGAGAATGGAAATAGTAACCAACTATC